CCCGCCCCCCCCCCAGCCCCGCCGCTTTTCAACCCACCCCCCCCCCCCCCCTCGACAGACCGGCCCCCAGCCACAAAAGGGAACACTTATGTGGCCCTCGCAGGAAAAAGTTTGGGGACCCCTGCCTTTAAGGAACTATGTGGAGGCTCCCCTGCTTGGTCCATCATGAAAGGTTGTTCTCTATTTAATTAGCACAAGAAATAGTAGAGCAAATGTAGCCCAATTACTGGATGTAGATTTTTTGCTATGTTGTTGGTTTCTTGGAGCGGCTTTTGTTATACACTGTAAATAAAAGTATTCAGACAAGAGCTAAAGATGAAGGGCACTGTGCTGTAACAGCGCTCTGAGGACATGTCCTCCTTGTTGTCTCCTTTTGGACATAATTAGAGCAAAAGGCGAAGGATTTAATGAGGGGAATACTTCAGGGTTTCACATGAATCTCGTGGACAGTTTGAGGTTTTGGTTTCCATTTCTCCTCTTCAGTTGTGCTTTCCCTGAAATCCCCCACCCTGATAGCCTGTGTATCTCTTGTTTTTGCAGTACTGGTCCCTTCCATCAAGCTTGGGGGCAGCACTGAGGAATTAGCACAAATCTGCTGACATCATCTTCTAAGATCCAGTCATGGCTTGGCTTGAAGCAAAAAAAAAAAAAAAAAGGGATGGGTGGGGGGGGAGCAGGGAGGAGGGAGACACAGGAAGGATGGAGCAGTAGGGTGAGGGGAGGGTTGGGGGAGTGGAAGGAGCAGGAACTGGGCATCAGGAGAGAATACTGCAGCTACCTCTCAGATTCAACACACATACACGCAGATTCAGATAAGTGGCGTGAGGAGGCTTTAAAGCACACACCCACCACAGCAGCATCACTGTGCTGCACCACAGAAAGGACCTAGCAGCACACACACACACACACACACCCACCCTTTATCTTTGACTCTCAGTCTTTCGCTCGAGCTGTCTGCCTCGCTCCGTCTCACACACGTGCTGCAGGGAAGATTTGAGCACAGGACTGCACTCGGATTCCTCCCCTCCCTTTTCTCTATTCTCCTTCCTCTCCTTCTTCACTCTCCCAGTTCACCTTGCCTGCTCCAGCTACATGGTACATTGTTGCGTCAGAGCCGTCGAGAAGCATGCCGGGGGAGAGCACGCACAGATCTGTCCCCGACGACAAGCATCGGGACCTGGGAAGCGAGGAGACGGGACTTCCAGGACCAGGTAGGAGCTCTGGGAGAGGGGGAGAGGATACGGATGAGGTCATTAAGCTTGGAGGTAAAAAAAAAAAAAAAACAAAGGCAGAGACTGGCATGAGACTGTGAGGAAGTGGCATAAAAACAAATTAATTTAAACGTTGAGTGTGCAGAACAGAAAGTGTGGGAGATGAGAAGAAAGAGATTGTAGGAGGGATGGAGAAGACTTATTTAAGGACTGGATTATCTCTGACAGCTTAGGAAAGCTCTTATTTAGATGGACGTTTGACTAAACTGCATGTTGTCCATCTTTCCAACTCCAGGGTGTTGACATCCTCCCAACTTACCTCACTCCTTTTATTAAAAAAAAAAAAAAAAATCAAATGTATATCCCACTAAATTCTAGCTAAAGTCTTTCAAAGCCTTTGTGTGATTGCCTTATTTCATCCATATTAGAGCCCCAACTCTAAAGCTCCCTTACTCACCCTCATCCCTCCTCCCATCTCTTTACATTCACCCATCCATTGCTTCACAGGGCTGTAAGAGTGAAGCAGTGCCCAGCATTTCCTCCCTTCCCCCAGCCGTAACGGGAACATGACACAGCAGCACGACGGCGCACTCTGCAACACGCAAACGCCACCTCACACTGACAAGTTCTTTGACTATTTAACATTTTGAACTTGAAGCAAATGATGTGCTGCATACAACGGCTCAGTGGGACAATAAAAAAAAAAGCTTCCTGCCCTGCTTAGTGGGCACATTTTAGCCTTCATTGCTTCATATTATATAAATTCTTCTCCTGGTTACAGATTAAATTTTTTTCTCAACATGTTGTTGATCCAAAAGATAAAGGAGCCTCAGATGTTTGTGGAGTGTCTACATTTCATCTCACAACCTTAGCAGCAGCTGAAATAGAGGCTCCCCTTGGGGGGCGGCGCTGCAGCCTATGTGACGCAGCTTCACTGTGCTGCGGCCTGCTTTTCATATGGCAAATCTGGAACACGGTTTACTGCATTCCTTTAGACCTGAGAAAATGATACATAAAAAAAAACACACAGTTGTAGTGTTTTATGAAGCAAAATAAAGCCATTGCTGCATGCTTTCTGCAATGTTGATGTTTGTTCCTCATGAGTTTGACATTGCTTATCCATTTTGTGCACAACTTATTATAGTTACACACACTGTGTTGTTGCTGTGTGTCTCCTGCCTCCTTAAGCTTTGACAAATAAAACCTGAGTTCTCACTTATCCACTTTTGAAATTTGTATTTGACAAATAAGTGAAAAAAAAAAAAAAACAAAAGTTACCACCTGGATTTAGCTAAGTAAATTGGTATAAACCTCTTTTAATTTGATAATTACCAGGCTGCAGAGCACATTAAAATGTTGCGCTGGGTTTGCCTTTTCGTTTGCCTGCTGTAATGTGCACCTTTTTCACCAGTTCTGTCTGTGGGGGATGACTCAGCACAAATACAAACACACATTTCACATAGAAACGTGGCAACAATCAGGAAGACCTGCTAAATGCTGATGTGTGCATCTGTCACAATCCCAGGAAGGGAAGGATGGCAGCATGGAATCCCTGAAATAAGAGAACAAGAAAACAATAGGTGATGTTTTTTGAAGAACAGAGGTTGATTTGATTTGACATATGAGCTCCTGACAGAGAAAATCCTGTGTGTGTGTGTGTGTGTGTCTATGACTGAGCAGAACCACTTGTATGTCATAACAGCCAATCAGGATGAGGATTGAAGTCACAGTTGCAATAGGGCACTTAGGATAGAAAATGAACACTGTTATGTTCATCATTGTTGTGTGTTGTTTCAGTCTAACACTTTCTCAGCAAAAGATCTTTCAAGATACGCAGTAGCAAAAACCGATACGGTTCTTTGTTTTAATTTTTCAATTTCAAAATTTATTCTGTTCATGAACATTCAGAAAATCTGCTCACTCAGTCGTCTCTGACCCAGTTTGTTTCACCCACCCTGGCATTTCATCTCACTAGTTTTTGAATCCTGACGACACTTTAAGACATACAGAGATCATCATTGACCTGGAAGGACAAGTTTTGTCGGAGTAGAACACTTAAACAATACTAACATCCATCTATCATCAACACCAGGTCCTGTAAGTTGTGTTTCTTCAAATTTTCAGGCTAAGTCCATGGTTTTCTCAAAACTTCCTAAAATGGGAAAAACTTTACTTTCTCAATTAATGACAATGTGTGTTCTCAAATTCTTTTTTTTTTAATTTTTTTTTTCAGGCATGGTAAGACATCCATCCACAGACTCCCCTCCAAGTGACAGTGGTTCCTCACCTAACGACAGTGGATCGAGCCCTTCTCCTAGCACTCCACAGAAGCTTCTCCCAGGGTCGACCTCTCCATTTGGTCCACGAGTGTTTCATGTGAAGCCTAGTTCCTCTGGTACTCCGAGACCACAGCCTGAAGGGTCCGACAATCGCATCAACCCAGCCAGACTGTCAGGAAAACTGGGAGGTCATGGTCCATGTGGCCGCCACATCTCTGTTAAGATGGAAAGAATAAAGGTACAAGCTGTGTGAGTGTTTCTAATTTTACAGCACGGATACTGTGAGATACATTTGTGACCCTGTGGTTTTTATATTTAATTTCTTATGAACAGGTCCTGACTGGATCTGAGGTGGAAAGTGACTATCCAGGGTCACAGACTATCGACACCAGAGTGGTGATGGGTGAAGAAACACTACTCAAAACAACAGAAGTCATGAAAGGAAAAATCACCACTGAGCTCAAAGCTCAGGCCATCCCTTTGCCATATCTCCCAAGTTTTCCATGTCCTCAACTGCAGACTAAAGAAATAAAACAGGAAACCAACAATGAGGAAATCCAGTCACAAATTCCCCAAAATCCAGAGAATCAGGAAACACAACATGTACAGGCCTCAGTTACAAACACTTTTCCCTCCTCTCCAAAACCAATCACAACTGATGACGAAGTAACAGACAGTAAGGAAGACAAAGAGACCCTCTCCGTAGATGAAGTGCCTTCACTCCCTTTTTCAGATGTGTCTTGTCCAGTTGCTCTGTCCTTCACTGAACCAGCCTGTCCTGTTGACCCCCTACGAGTTGGCATTCCCTCATCTCTTGACCCAGAACTTTACTACACCGCTCCGTCCACTCCAATCAAAATGGTCACCCGCTGTTCGCACCTTAAGCATCATTCCTACCCTGGCTCCCCAGCATCCCCTCTTTCTCCTGGTTCTCCATCTGACAGTGAGGACCTCTGTTCCCCTCTCACTTCTCCATCTGGCTCTTACATTACAGCAGAGGGAGGCAGCTGGGCATCATCTTATACGTCCTCCACCTCCCCATCCACTTCTCCTAACTTGCTCCTTGTGGAAGAAACGCAAGAGGCGCCTGCTTGCTTTGTGAGTTCATTGTCAGAAATCGGAGATGAGGTCGCAGAGGAGAAGGGTCGATCAGCCCAAGAACGAGAGGACGATAGGGCCAGCGACTTCAGCTTGTACCATCCGAGCGATTTTGTTGTGAATTCACGGATAGGTATAGCAGACACAGTGATTCCTGAGGAAGATGAGACTCTAAAAGGGGAAGAGGTGAAGATTTCCAGGGAAACTTGTCGTCCGTGCTGGGTGACCGAGAGTGCACTCCCTATAAGAAGCAGTAGCAGCAGTGACTCCCAGGATGATGAAGGGGAATCAGAAAGTTCATTTTACCCATTAGAGGAGCACACTGTTGACAGAACAGAGTACTCTAGGCACATGCAGACAGGCCTCAGACTAAATCTGGAGGGATGTTTATCAGAAGAACATTATCGGCAGATGGAGGCCAATCCAGATATCTCCCCCACCACCTTGACCCCTGATACAGAGAACATGACTGTGGCATCCTCCAGCTTCAGCCCAGATTCACTGCTGCTCCCCATGGGCGCCTTCTGCCCTGGAGCCTTTGATAGCTCCTTCATACTCTCGCAAGCTGCATGTTCTGATGACGTACCAGACGAGGAAAGGATGATACCTGCCTCCCTCATCTCATTTCCCCTTCACACTAGCCTAATCTTCAAGGCTGACTCAATGGAAATCACCCTCTTCCCCACGGAAGAAGAAAATGACATCGATGTCAATGACAGAAATGAAAGAAAGGATGTTGATGCATATGCAGCAGGAGAGGAGGAGGCAGATGTAGAGGATGATGATGAAGATGATGACGAGGATCACGATGATTACAATTATAATGATCAGATCACTGACTCCACACCTGATAGTGATGAAGGGGAAGACAAAGTTGAGGGTGCAAACATGCAACACGAGGAAGCTAAAGTAGAGGTAAAGGTTGTGGAAGAAGAGGAAGAAGAGGATGATGAAGATGATGATGATGACGACGATGATGTGTGCGATAGCAAAGTTATGGAAGACGAGGCTGAGGACAGCTCAGCTTCTTTCCTTCATTCACTTTCAGAAACATCAATCAATGAAGGGTTAGATGAGTCTTTCTGCTTCCAAGATGATACAGATGACTCTTTAGATTCGGCCTCTTATAATGGGGAGGAAGATGAACGTTTATACAGCACTGAGAGGCATGCACAATCCCTAGAACCTCTACCTGCAGATGGTTCAAATCCAGCTGAAATCCAACCAGAGGCTGAACAGGGCTCTTTGAACACACAACTATACACGGACACACAAGTGGACCATTCTCAATCTACCCATCTGTCGACAAGCTCTGTAGCCTACCCAAAAGGTAACGACTTAGAACCAACACCCCTGGAAGTGCCTATGTGCTCTGAACACCAATCTGATCCAGATGTCAAATCTACCATTAAAACAGATGAAACAAAAACCTCAGATACACCTGCACATAACCAGCAACCAGTTCAAACTTCAGAGCAACTTATTGAGAATGAAGGGGAAAGCCAGATAAGTATTGGTGCTATTTTAAAGCCTTTTGTGGAGCCTCAAGAGAATCCCTGTTCTAATCTATTCACTACCCTTGCTGCAGGTCCTGCACCACCTGCTTCTGAGACTGATTACATCAATGCAACTCATTCTACCACGTCTGTGGAGGAGAATACAAAAGATTTACCTGAGGAAAATCCTAAGGTGAAAGTTGTTGCCTTGAAACTACCTTGTGATCAAACTGAGCACACAAAAGAACCTGAAAGGGACTCTTTCAAATTGCTTATAAAGCCTCGCCATGGCCATTCTGAAAGTCAAAGAACTGTTGGAGCAACCAGAGTCGCTCTGTCAAAGTCTTTCTGTGGTAAATACGATGTGCCGGTAGAAGGGAGATCTGTGTGTAGGTCAAGTCCTAACAGCGACTCTGATACCAAGCTTGGCCAAAGTACTGAGTTTGCCCCAGCTGATTCTGAAAGTGTAGAGTCTAAATCAAGTGACTCCTCTCCACTACTGAATATTATTACTCCTACCAATGACTTGAATAAGGGTGTTGTTGTTCTGTCCCCTCCTAAAGAGTCAAATTCCAATCCCAGTAATATCCCTGTTTCTACTTCCGCAGAAATCATTTCAGAACTTGGTGACAACTTCACCCTGACACCTGAACACTGCCCGAGAGACTCTTCCCTGGAGAACCTAAGCGAGAACACTTTGGGCACAGATGACGGGGTACTAGGAGCTGTCGGATCCTTGCACTCCCCCCTTGCGATATCTCCCAAAAGAGAAAATTCAGAAACGGATACAGGCAGAGATGCGGTCCCTGAATCTGGGGCATGGTGTGATGCCAGGGTAGGTTTGGGTTTTGTCCTGGGATTTGGGTCAGGGTCTGAGTTTGGTGTCTGGGGAGCAGGTGAATCATTGTCTTTATCCCTGGGTAAGAGGTATGAATTAGAGGCAGAGAGTCTTCTGATGTGCGATACAGAAGGCCAAAGGACAGAGACAGCTTTGGTTTCCAATATGAGCAGCGAACTGTGCGAAAACTATGACAATGTTCTCAGTTCTATTCTGGATGAGGAAGATAACAACAGTCAGAGTGGAAAGAATGACCAAATGTTGGATAAAGAATTGGTAGAAGAGGGGATCTCTGAGTCCAACCTCGCCCACTGGAAATCTATTGAAGAGATTTCAGAAGCAGGGGGAGGAGAGGACGGAAGTGCCAGGTTTCCAGGGGACATTAGTAATTTGAATCCTGACAATGATAACGATAAGGAAACACAAATGCAAGACAACTGGAAGAGTCCGACTGACTTTGAGTGCTTGAATGAAGGCATGTATGGGAGTCTGAATGCTCTGTCAGATGAAATGAGACACCAGAGCGGCAGTGTCGTTATCAAAGACTCTGTGTCTAATATTCCACTTGACGAGGTGCCTCTTCAGACTTCTGACAGAACTCCTAAAGAACAAAAACCAACAGAGGATCACATAAACCAAGCACCAGACGCAAAACAAACACTATTAATCAAAGATAGCGTTTGTATTGTCTCATCTGACACTCGGCCTCAAGGAGCTGCAAAACCCAAAAACCAAGATTCACCATGTAAAACTGAGCCGAGATGCGATTCTACTACACAGTATCAGTCAATCTCTCTAAGGAGTAATGCATTTTCTTTGCCAGAGGGATCGTTTGGGTCTCTCCCCGCAAAATGCACATCTAATATTGGCAGACTGAGAAGCACCTGTACAGATGGCACGGAGATGTCACAACATCAGCGACACAACCAAAAGAAATGTGACATCAGTGCTGAAATTACCAGAAGTACGAATGAACCAAAGACTAAAGATGCCTTTTTAGGAAAGCACAGTGGTGTTTGTAACTCAGGGGATGAAGGGGTGGAGGTCAAACAAAAACAAAGGAGCGATGAAAAAAATAAGGTGGATGAAAGTCAAAATAGGTCCTCTTCTGCACTGAATGACTCTGATCCCTTTGAGAGGCTCACACAAAAGGTTGGACCTTGCACAGATACCCAAGCTGCCTCTACAAAAGGGAAGAGAAGGAAACAGAATAGAAATAGGGCATCTCAGACGGGTGGTCTTAATGACGTTAGCCCTGAGTCTGTTCAAGAACCAAAGAAAGCTCCTGCTCTACCAAACATTTCAGGAGATGGATACTCAGACTGGGTTACACACATTACTAAAACTAAGACAGACTACAACGCTAACAACTGTTCATCCTCTCACTTTCAGCAGAGGACATCTGGACCAGACAAAGCTGAACCTGTTGCACAGATGGAGAGGCATAATCATGGCAGTCCTGATGAAAAAGTTTTAAGACAAGAGCAATGCAATTTAAACAGAGGTACAAGAGACAACCTCAGTCCAATTATGGCAATGAACCAAGACTTACAGCAGAAACAAGAAGTGCTTGATAACAGACCATTAGCTGATAGTCAGACACAAATTACTGTGGACCTTAATGATAACAACATAGACACAGGTCCCAGCAAACCTCAGAAGAATATCTCATACGCTCAGGCTGTGAAATGCCCCTCTTCCTCCCTACCTTGTGCCTCAACAGAGTTAATGGATGGTCTTTCCACACCTGTCCAGGAATCCCAACCTGTCCTTTCCACGCAACAGCAATCTTTACAGTCTATAACTCCTAAGTCTGCTGGTTCTGAAATTCCCTCCAACAGCAGCCCCCTAGAGGTCACTGAAGTCTTTTCAACACCATCGTCTAAAAGTGTCTCTTCATCCCAATTGCCCACTGTCACGCCAGTAGTCTTGTCCCAAGCTACCCAAGAAACTGGGAATCTAGATTCAGAATATGCTCCAGAATCGTCATCTCATCAAAACTCAGAGTCTACTTCCAACACTCAGTCTCAGAAACAGATAAAGGAAGGTTGTACTTGGTTCACCCAAGACATTTCCAGAGGTGAGTGAAGACACTTGAAACTTTAATTTCCTTGGCCCTGTACATCTAGGCAGTCTTTTTTTCAGAAAAGAGGGAAACAAAATCGTCCTCTGGTCTGATGTGTATGAATTAGAAAATGTTCAAATGATTGTAGAATGTGCATGTTAATAAATTTGTTCCCTGTAAGGTGCTAGTGCGACCGACGAAGAATCGGACAAAAAGGATGATGGCGGACGGCTCCAGCGGGGTCACACGCCTAAGCCTAGGGAAGCTGAGGAAGACAGAGATGGATCGGTGAAAAATGAGTCTGACGCAGCAGATCAGCGAGAAATCCAACCCTTCTCTAGTCGCCAACCAACCGGGAGACAGTCAGGCTGTTCAGTCACTCATAACCTCAATATTTGTGAAGAGATTGATCTATCTGTTAAAAATAACAGTGAGTTTCTTTCTTATTTTTTTTCTTGTTTCTCACGTGAGATAAAGAGATACCCAGAATTCCCTTAGTTTTCTGCTGCACACCCAGACTTTCTGTCTGCCTTTGGTTTTGTTGTTGCTAATTTAGTTGAATGTTAATAATTACATAACACCGATAAAGCAAAGAACAGGTTTAACTGGCATAATATATCTAGTTTGCACCACTGTTACAGAATATTTTTCTGGGACATGTTGCCTTTAGGTTCCACTGTGGCCTCCTGTAATGAATCTGAGAGTGAAGGTTCGATGCCTGATCTGGAAGAGCTGGAGCCTCTGAGACCATCAGAACCACCTGTAAGTCCATCTGAAGGCTTTGTAAGCGAAAATAACTTCCTTATTTGTTATTACGTTATAAAAATGGTTTTCTAAAGAATAAATAACGCTATTCTAGAATAGTTTAAACCCATGCTGATAATATTTGATAAATTCTTGGTGTGTCTTTCTTGTTGTAAGGCAATGTTGTCTTATGGTATTCTGTATTTATTTGCTTCATATTTATATCCCAAGCATTGGGTTTCTATTTATGGATACCAAAATTAGCATAATCCTTGATGCTCTCGTCCAATTCTAAGACAAAATATTTAGTTTTGAAGCAGGTGGGGTTATGGACAATAACAAGAAATAGTTATTGGGGCACAACAACTAAGGGAGGAGATGGTAGTGGAAAGAAAAAAATTTAGTATAGTTTGTCAGTACAGCATTTTTCATTACCAGAAAATATTTGATCCGAACTCCATACTTTTTCAGACTTTTCTAGGCCATCCAGATTGTGTAGAAGCTCTGTAAGAATATTTGATTTGCCTATCTTGGGACTGCATATATAAATTAGCAACTGTCTAAAAATCCAATGGAAAGCAACAGTTTAGATATGAGCTTGTGTGCTCCCTATGTGTGGAGATGAAAGATAATAAACATTTAAAAAAAATCTACAGTTAAAATCAAAGTTTGAAAAACTCTAACATATGATCAAATTACCTTAACATAGGTCACAATATGGACTTACATATACCTGCTCTTGTCTGATAAATTTGAAGGTGTTGAAGTTTGATTTAGCTATGAAAGCGCAAAATAGACTATTTTTGTAATCAAACATTGCAGTTTGCAAAGAGCTACCTTTTCCTTGTAGCTCTTACTACAAGGAAATGGCCAATCAGTTCCTATTGGCTCAAAATAAAAACAATAGTTTTTCTTGCTGTATTAACAAATCCAACATTTTGTAATGAAACTAATTATCAAAACTCAAACGCTTTGTAAGATTTTTAAAAGTAAACATAGATTTTTTTTTCTTTCAGTGTGTTTCTGCTGCGGATGATGGATTGAACAGACCAAAACAGAGCCGCAGTGAGAAGAAAGCACGCAAGGTCAGAGTGATGCTTGTGTAGATGTGTGTAAAACTGTGATCAAATGTTTTAACAGTGATAAGAAATGCTTTTGCCTCAGTTGTCACATCATTTTAACAATATTGCGCACTAGGATCAGATCAATGGTTAAGAGCTTACAAAGTTTACTGTCTGGTTTTTGGATCTGTTTATTATTGCATTCATGTTGACAAAAACTTTGTTCAATTTAAAGAAAGGCAACCCCAGAATATGATACCACCAAGTTTCACGACGTTTAACATTCATTTTAGAATGTTGCTTTTTTTGTGCTGATTGTCATTCATCATCAGGGTCAATTCTATACTATTGATTTTTAGGTGTGTCCACATTGATCCAGCTCTTTAATGAAAGTTTTATGTTTCTTCCTAATACATTTGTTTGTTTTTAAATCAAATTGCACAGGTTGCTGGTCAAGTGAAAAATTGGTCATCAAAGTCATGGTTTTTAGATCATGACTAAAAAATCCTTGTGCCAATTGTACAAGGATGTATGCACTTTGAAGACATGCAGTGTGTGATGCAGCTAACCGTTTTGGTTTTTTTATTTTTATTCGAGTTTAAGATGTAAGTTTAAATGAAACAAGTAGTTATTTGAGTTCCTAACCCTGAAACTCTGTCTTGCAGGCAATGTCTAAACTGGGTCTGAAGCCAGTCCATGGTGTGACCAGAATAACTATCAGGAAGTCCAAGAGTATCTTGTTTGTCATCACCAGACCAGATGTTTTCAAAAGTCCGATGTCTGACATTTATATTGTATTTGGAGAAGCGAAGGTAAATCTTTTGTGTCTCGATCATAAAGTCATCTTTATATTTCCATCTCCTAACTGTTCTCTTCAATTCTTCTCTTCTGCAGATTGAGGACTTATCACAGCAGGCTCATAAAGCAGCAGCAGAGAAATTCAAGGTGCCTGTTTCCCCGTCTCCATTAGCCCCACCTGTCCCACCGAGTCTAACCATCAAGGAGGAGAGCGAAGAGGAGGAGGAAGAGGTAAGTACAATCGGTCTCGTCAAACTCGCAGGGATGTGTCACTGAATCTTGAATGCAACATTGCTTGCTTTGTTGCTTTCTGCGCATCAGGTGGATGATGGAGGTCTGGAGCAGAGAGACATCGAACTGGTGATGGCTCAGGCCAACGTGTCACGAGCCAAGGCCATCCGCGCACTCAAACACAACAAGAACGACATTGTGAATGCCATCATGGTAAGGACAAAGGAGGGATGGAGGAAGGAGGAGCCGGCTGGGAGGGGGCGGGCAGATGGCAAACAAAACAATGTGTCATAGCCAGAGAGCGGAGGGGGAAAGGGAGAAGGCTGATATGAGCAAACAGAGCACAAATTAGTTTCATCCCAGAGTTGTATCGGAGATCCGGCTTTGTTGTGAAGTTATATGTCCACTAGATGGCAGCAATGGCTAAATGGCTAATGCTCAGTTCAATGACATACATTTCTTTCTTGATTTTCGTGTTTCTTCTGCCTTGTTTCAATTTTTGTTCTTTATTTTTCCTCATAGGAGCTGACCATGTGAGTGGGCACTGAGGACAATTTGATTCCCAGCTCCCTTGTTCCTGCCTATAAAGCCTAACTACTGCGTACTCTTCTGTATCGCTGCTGCTGTATGTTGCATCCCCCAGTCTGCTAAATAAAGTCTAAGACAAGCTCCAGTGTGGACTCTGACAAAACACGGAGGATGATTACTATGAAGGGACTAAAAACAGACCCACATTTAGAAAAATCGGGAAAAACTGGTGCCTTGCAGTCAGTATTTTGTCACGTTTAAACCGCAAAACAATCTATTTTATGGGGTTTCTGTGTGGTGGACTAAGTATTGTGCGACTATAAAATGGAATGGAAAGTATATTTGGTTTTAAATTTCTTTCCAAGCCTATACCTGAAAAGTGTGGTGTGTATATAGATTCAGGCCTGAGTTAATGCTCTGCATTCATTACGATTCTAGCCGAAAGGGGGTATGCCTCTACCAGATTAACCAGTTTATTCATGTTTTGGTACTGATTCTTGCTATAGATATTGATTTGGACATACTTCAATCTGAAATCTGAACTTGGAGCTGGGTTTGACATTGTGCCCAAGGAAACAGCGTTACAGTTAAGAAGTCAGGATTTCAACATAGCAGTGCCCAAGGTCACAGTACCATGAATATCATTTTAAGTTTTACTTTTCATAGGCAAGCAACACTTTTAATTTGTTCAGTTTAGAGTTGAAGGCGCTACATGTAAGATTAATTTTAGACCTACTCTTACAGGTGTGTCTTGTATAAATATTTCCGCCTCAGTGCTGGTGTGAGAAGTGGCCATATTGAAATCCAGCCACAGGGGGCAGCTGTGAGTTTCTTACACTTTCTGACTTGGAGATCAGAATTATCCAGTTCCGACTGCAAACGGAAAGCAACATTTCACCCGTCTCACGTGTTTTAACTCCTTTCACAGGTTTTCTTCCAAAACTGTCCTGTATTTACCTTAGATGGAAAACAACCCCACAGCATGACGTTTCCACCACCATGTTTTACAGTTGAGCTTGGTGAATGCAGTGTTGGTCTTTATTTCTTGTGTCCCCTAAATGGCTTGTAGGAAACTTTAAACTGTACTACTTGTGAATTTATTTCAACTGCCAACTTGCCGCTCTTCCACAAAAGGTTTCTAGAGTGTATGACAAAAGGTTCTGAGCAGTGCATCTCTGCAGCGCCACAGTTTACACCCTGTCTTGGTAGCTTTGCATTTTCCGTTTTTTTTTTTTTCATTTTTCCATTGTCACTCAAATGTTCAAATAATGTTTTATTATCTAACTCTTCTTAAACTTCACATCTTTCTGAATAACATGTCTGCTGTGTTTCTAGACTTTTGTTATGATCTCTGTTAATGTTCTCTAACAAATCTCCGAGTCCCTCGCAGAACAGCTTGAATTATGCCGGCATTAAATCAGACAACGGTGGACTCGATTTACTAGTTAGGTGATTCCTGCAGGGCAATCGGTTTAACTACATTTTGTTAAGCGATGTCCGAGTAAATGGGGCTGAATCTAAATTTATGCCACACTTTTCAGATTTTAGTTTGTAGAACGTTTATAAAAGTTGATCTTTTCCCTTCTATTTCACTTATTTGTCATGAGTTCTGTTGGTCTATTACATAAAACTCCAATAAAATACAAGGTTTATGGACATTATTGCCTTTGTAAAGCACTGCATTTATTTTTTTTCTGATGCTATTTCAATGCAAGTTAATATGCTTGCTTTAAAGCTTTATACATACACACACAACCAAAATAGACTCAGAAAATATTGAGACAACATTTTTGTAGTCAAAAGCAAACTGACTCTGCATGTTGTTTTCACAAACTCACCATGCGTTTTGTTATGACAATCTTTCAGCTTTATTGTAAAAAAACAAGTTAGAATATGAAAAACAACACAAGCCCTGTCTTCTTTAACAAGAAGGGGCAATAACAAGAACATTCCTAACATGTACAGTCATCAGCTTCAAATCTAAGGAAATATGTCAGCATGTCGGAGACATTTCTCCATATTAACTCACTCTTACAAAAAAGGAGAGGAAAATACATGAAACGTTTCTTTAGTGTACAAATTTAAGAGAAAATGGTTTTTAGACAGCAAAAATCTACAGTTACAAAAATGTTAGGCAATTTGAACACTCTGCCTCATAAAGGTCTTTATAGGTGCAGAGGACTGAGTGTGTTTTATCTTTTAAAATTCGGCGACGTTGCAGTTTGGGTTTTTAGCCGTTGTATTCTCCAGAGCTCTGCAAGGGAGGTAGCTTCCCCATCCCCCCCGCCACCGGGTAAAGTCCAGGGGGATCGATAGGTCTTCAGGAGCCAGTTTTAGATGGGAGGACATTATTCTCAAAGTGTCCCTGGTTTGTTATATTCCCTGCTGGGAAATATCTGGCCACGACAAAGGAAGAGCCGTCTGACGCTGTGGCCTTTCCCACACCCAGCTTCTTGCTGCTCTTCCACACCATTGCAGTGAAATGTCCTGAAGGTGACACAGAAAGTCAAAAGAAAACACATGAACACACAGCAAGAGTGAAAAACATTTTTGTTTGAAAATTGCTGCAGCTGTGCGCTCAGGCACTCAAGTTCCCCCAAACATTTATAAAAGGGGGGAATTTTCTCTCCAGCATCGCTCAGCCCTAAATCAGTCTCCCTTCCAGTTCTTATCCGTCTTTTTCTTACAGGAAATGTAACATGAATCTTTGCGAATTACTGTAGTGGTTATTAAGTTATTAAGTTACACTGTGTTTGAAGATACAGGCGACTATGTTTAGAAATTAGGGCAGACTGAGATATGAGGCATGTGCGTCTGTCTTCTATAAATATGACAGTGACTTTCCCCTCTGTTTCCCATTGGAGAGACACCAAGTCACACACTGACATTAGCTCGAAAATAACAACCAGCCACCCCAACGCCTGCACAAGCGTGACAGCGAGAGAAAGCGAAAGTGACAGCACATAAACACAAAACGGCATCGCGGGCGAAGAAGCTGTTGACAAACTGAGAGAGAAAAGAAAAGATGAGATGAGACAAAACATTAGAACAGTGTGAATCTCACCAGTGCCAGAGGAGAATCCAGGGTGGCTGAAGTTGTACTGTTTGACTTCTTCATACCAGCGATCTGCCACATCCTTCCCTGCATCAGCAATGAATAAAAAAAAAAAAAAAAGCATCATCAGTCTAGAGGCCAAGCAGATTAATAATGCATCATTAAAATGCAGGAGAACTTAATATGGATGTCATTTGGAGCAAATTCCTCTTGGTCTCGTGGGGCTTATATTGATACATTTTTGTCAGTAATTACTGGGCTGTTTTATCAATATTTGTCCTGTGCTGACATTTTTCTGCAGTGAGTCATAGTGTCTGAGGAAAATAGAGTCCAGCTGTTCAGCTGCACCAACTGGCAGTCAGAACAGAGCATTTACTTTAGGTCCTACATACAGATCCTAACGAGATGTTTTTGTTTTGTTGTTTTTTTTTTAAACCAAGGGGGGAATAATCGAATGCTTCACCATACTCCAAAGCTTAAACATGTGTGCGATGTTATAAAAATTAGGTTTTATTTGTCTTTACCCGTTTGGTCATAAGAAGCCCATGCCAGGTTTTCTCCACAGCTCCCCCTGCTGGACTCCACACTGTGCTTCAGGATTCTTGTGCTAGCCAGACTTTCAGCATAACTAAAAAAAAAAAAAAAAAAAAATAGAATTTAGTCTTTTTTTTTGTTGCATTTTTCAAAACAAAAAAGAAGAAAAGACTGAAGTTCATTAAGCTTAGTAACAGAAAACGTCATTGCCACAAACGTTTTGTGACAAAACATTTTGTGCCACAAATTTTGTTTACATTTTTTTAGGCAAAAAAGAGTCTTATGTTTTTTTTTTTCATGTTATTTGATTGTCTTCGGAGAGGTACCGTCTCCTTCCCTATGGGTTCAATAAAAAATATTCAAATTTACCAGTGTCATGAATAATCTCGGGCTCATTAACCGCATTATATTTTGAACTTTTGAAAAAAAAAAAAAAAAAAATATAAATATTTATATAAATATAAAAATATATATAAATAAATATTTATATATATAT